CGTCTACCTTAACCTAACCCTATAACATTAACAATCACCTGAGTCTACAACATCTACCTTCACTTGACCCTATAACATCTACCATTACCTGACTCTACAACATCTACCAACACCTGATCCTATAACATCTACAATCACCTGACTCTACAGCATCTACCATCACCTGACCCTACATCATCTACCATCACCTGACCCTACAACATCTACCATCACCTGACTCTACAGCATCTACCATCACCTGACCCTACAACATCTACCATCACCTGACCCTACAACATCTACCATCACCTGACTCTACAGCATTCACAATTACCTGACCCTACAACATCTAGTCTGCACCTGACCCATAACATCTACCAACACTCACCCTACAGCATCTACCATCACCTGACCCTACAGCATCTACCATCACCTGACCCTAAGCAAACATCTACCTTCATCCCTATAACATCTACCAACACCTGACCCTGAGTCCATCACCTGACCCTACAACATCTACCATCACCTGACCCTCCACATCTACTCTTCACATGACTTCTATAAGCATCTCTACTATCACCTGACCCTACAGCATCTACCATCACCTGACCATACAACATCTACCAGCACCTGACTCTCATAACATCTACACATCACCTTCACAGCATCTAGGCTCTTCACCTGACCCTACAACATCTACCTTCACCTGGGCCCTACAACACCATCACCAGGCCCTACAACATCTACTTCTCACTTGGACCCTACAACATCTACCATCACCCTGACCCTACAACATCTACCTTTCACATGAGACTCTGTAGTAACATCTACCATCACCTGGATCTCTATAACATCTACCATCATATGACTCTCACAACATCTACCATCACCTGACGCTATAACATCTACAATCACCTGACTCTACAGCATCTACCAACACCTGACCCTACAACATCTACCTTCACATGACCCTATAGCATGTACCATCACCTGACCCTACAACGTCTACCTTCACATGACTCTATAACATCTACCATCACCTGATCCTACAGCATCTACCATCACCTGACCCTACAGCAAATACCATCACCTGACCATACAACATCTACCAGCACCTGACTCTATAACATCTACCATCACCTGACCCCACAGCATCTACCTTCACATGACCCTACAACATCTACCTTCACCTGGCCCTACAACGTCTACCATCACCAGGCCCTACAACATCTACCTTCACTTGACCCTATAACATCTACCATCACCTGACCCTACAACATCTACCTTCACATGACTCTATAACATCTACCATCACCTGATCCTATAACATCTACCATCACATGACTCTACAAAATATCTACCAACACCTTGACGCTATAACATCTATAAATCACCTGACCCTCACAGCATCTACCAAACACCTGACTCCTACAACATCTACCTCTTCACTATGACCCTATAACATGTACTCCATCACCTGACCCTACAACGTCTACCTTCACATGACCCTATAACATCTACCATCACCTGATCCTACAGCATCTACCATCACCTGACCCTATAATATCTACCATCACCTGACTCTACAACATCTACCAACACCTGACGCTATAACATCTACAATCACCTGACACTATAGCATCTACCATCACCTGACCCCACATCATCTACCAACACCTGACCCTACATGATCTACCATCACCTGACTCTACAGCATCCACAATTACCTGACCCTACAACATCTACCTTCACTTGACCTAGTACATCTTCTACTATCACTTGACTCTACATCTACCTTCATATGATCCTATAACATCTGCCATCACCTGACCCTACAACATCTACCATCACCTGACCCTACAACATCTACCTTCACATGACCCTATAACATTTACCATCACCTGACCCTACAACATCTACCATCACCTGACCCTACAACATCTACCATCACCTGACTCTACAACATCTACCATCACCTGACCCCACAGCATCTACCTTCACCTGACCCTATACCATCTACCATCACCTGACTCTATAATATCTTACTTCACATGACCTTATAACATCTACCATCACCTGACCCTTCAATATCTACCTTCACATGACTCTATAACATCTACCATCACATGACCCTACAGCATCTACCATCACCTGACCATACAACATCTACCAGCACCTGACTCTATAACATCTACCATCACCTGACCTCACAGCATCTACCTTCACCTGACCCTACAACATCTACCTTCACCTGGCCCTACAACGTCTACCATCACCAGGCCCTACAACATCTACCTTCACTTGACCCTATAACATCTACCATCACCTGATCCTATAACATCTACAATCACATGACTCTACAACATCTACCAACACCTGACGCTATAACATCTACAATCACCTGACTCTACAGCATCTACCAACACTTGACCCTACATCATCTACCATCACCTGACCCTACAACATCTACCATCACCTGACTCTACAGCATCCACAATTACCTGACCCTACAACATCTACCTTCACCTGACCCTATAATATCTACCATCACTTGGCTCTACATCTACCTTCATATGATCCTATAACATCTACCATCACCTCACCCTACAGCATCTACCATCACCTGACCCTACAGCATCTACCATCACCTGACCCTACAACATCTACCATCACCTGGCCCTACAACGTTTGCAATCACCAGGCCCTACAACATCTACCTTCACATGACCCTATAACATCTACCAACACCTGACCCTACAGCATCTACCATCACCTGACCCTACAACATCTACCATCACCTGACCCTCCAATATCTACCTTCACATGACTCTATAACATCTACCATCACCTGACCCTACAGCATCTACCATCACCTGACCATACAACATCTACCAGCACCTGACTCTATAACATCTACCATCACCTGACCCCACAGCATCTACCTTCACCTGACCCTACAACATCTACCTTCACCTGGCCCTACAACGTCTACGATCACCACGCCCTACAACATCTACCTTCACTTGACCCTATAACATCTACCATCACCTGACCCTACAACATCTACCTTCACATGACTCTATAACATCTACCATCACCTGATCCTATAACATCTACCATCACATGACTCTACAACATCTACCATCACCTGACGCTATAACATCTACAATCACCTGACTCTACAGCATCTACCAACACCTGACCCTACAACATCTACCTTCACATGACCCTATAACATGTACCATCACCTGACCCTACAACGTCTACCTTCACATGACTCTATAACATCTACCATCACCTGATCCAACAGCATCTACCATCACCTGATCCTACAGCATCTACCATCACCTGACCCTATAACATCTACCATCACCTGACTCTACAACATCTACCAACACCTGACGCTACAGCATCCACAATTACCTGACCCTACAACATCTACCTTCACCTGACCCTATAATATCTACCATCACTTGACTCTACATCTACCTTCATATGATCCTATAACATTTACCATCACCTGACCCTACAACATCTACCATCACCTGACCATACAACATCTACCAGCACCTGACTCTACAACATCTACCATCACCTGACCCCACAGCATCTACCTTCACCTGACCCTATACCATCTACCATCACCTGACTCTATAATATCTTACTTCACATGACCTTATAACATCTACCATCACCTGACCCTTCAATATCTACCTTCACATGACTCTATAACATCTACCATCACCTGACCATACAACATCTACCAGCACCTGACTCTATAACATCTACCATCACCTGACCCCACAGCATCTACCTTCACCTGACCCTACAACATCTACCTTCACCTGACCCTACAAATGCCTACTACATCACTTAGGCCCTACAACATCTACCCTTCACTTGACCCTATAACATCTACCATCACCTGATCCTATAACATATCTTACAATCACATGACTTCTACAACATCTACCATATTGACGCTAGTAACATCTACAATCACCTGACTTCTACATCTACCAACACTTGACCCTACATCATCTACCATCACCTGACTCTACAGCATCCACAATTACCAGGCCCTACAACATCTACCTTCACCTGACCTATAATATCTACCATCACTTGACTCTACATCTACCTTCATATGATCCTATAACATCTACCATCAGCTGACCCTACAGCTTCTACCATCACCTGACCCTACAGCATCTACCTTCACCTGACCCTACAACATCTACCTTCACATAACCCTATAACATCTACCATCACCTGACCCTACAGCATCTACCATCACCTGTCCCTACAACATCTACCAACATCTGACTCTACAACATCTACCAACACCTGACGCTATAACATCTACAATCACCTGACTCTACAACATCTACCATCACCTGACTCTACAGCATCCACAATTACCTGACCCTACAACATCTACCTTCACCTGACCCTATAATATCTACCATCAGTTGACTCTACATCTACCTATATATGATCCTATAACATCTACCATCACCTGACCCTACAACATCTACCATCACCTGACCCTACAACATCGACCTTCACATGACCCTACAACATCTACCTTCACTTGACCCTATAACATCTACCATCACCTGACCCTACATCATCTACCTTCACATGACTCTATAACATCTACCATCACCTGATCCTATAACATCTACCATCACATGACTCTACAACATCTACCAACACCTGACGCTATAACATCTACAATCACCTGACTCTACAGCATCTACCAACACTTGACCTTACATCATCTACCATCACCTGACTCTACAGCATCCACAATTTCCAGGCCCTACAACATCTACCTTCACCTGACCTATAATATCTACCATCACTTGACTCTACATCTACCTTCATATGATCCTATAACATCTACCATCACCTAACCCTACAGCTTCTACCATCACCTGACCCTACAGCATCTACCTTCACCTGACCCTACAACATCTACCTTCACATGACCCTATAACATCTACCATCACCTGACTCTACAACATCTACCAACACCTGAGGCTATAACATCTACAATCACCTGACTCTACAACATCTACCATCACCTGATTCTACAGCATCCACAATTACCTGACACTACAACATCTACCTTCACTTGAACGTATAATATCTACCATCACTTGACTCTACATCTACCAAAACCTGACCCTACAACATCTACCATCAGCTGACTTCTACAGCATCTACTATCACTTGGACCCTACAACATCTGCCATCACCTTGGACCCTACAACATCTAAATATCACCTGACCCTACAAATATCTACCTTAACATGACCCTATAAATATCTACACATCACCTGACCCTACATCATCTACCAACACCTGGCTCTTTACAGCATCTACCATCACCTAACTTCCCTACAACATCTACCAAACACTTGGACCCACAGCATCTACCAGCAGCTGACCATTCAACATCTACCATCACCAGGCTCCTCACAACAACTACTCTTCACTAGAACCGACCAACATCTTATGTTCACCTGGGCTCCAACAAAATCTTACATTCACTCAGGCTCCTGCAACATCTACCTTTCACATGACCCTAAACAATTACCTATCACCTGACCCTACAGCATCTACCTTCACATGACCCTACAACATCTACCAACACCTAACGCTACAACATCTACCATCACCTGACCCTACAACATCTACCATCACTTGACCCTACACCATCCTCAATTACCTGACCCTACAACATCTACCATCACCTGACCTTCTACAACATCAACCATCACCTGACCTCCACAGCATCTACTCTTGAACCTGACCCTATAACATCTACCATCACCTGACTTTCTACACATTTCCTACCTTTCACTCCTGACCCTATAACATCTACCATCACCTGACCCCACAACATCTACCTTCACATGACTCTATAACATCTACCATCACCTGACCCTACAGCATCTACCATCACCTGATCCTATAACATCTACCATCGCCTGATCTCTACAACATCTACCAATGCCCTGACGCTATAACATCTACAATTACCTGACTCTACAGGCATCTACCATCACCTGACCTAACATCATCTACTCAACACCTGACCCTATATCATCTACCATCACCTGACTCTACAGCATCCACAATTACCTGACTCTACAGCATCCACACAATTACCTGACCCTACAACTATCTACCTTTCACCTGACACTAAGTAATATGAACTGTCTCTTGATTCTTTACATCCACTTTCATATGATCCTATAACATCTACCATCACCTGACCCTACAACATCTACCTTCACCTGACCCTACAACATCTACCTTTCACATGACCTTAAGTCACATCTACTTTCACTTGACAGCATCTACAGAGCATCTACCATCACCTGATTCCTATAACATCTACTCATCACCTGACTTCTACAAACATATACCATCACCTGACCCCCATACAGCATCTACCTTTTAACCTGACCCAATAACATCTACCACATCACTCCTACCCAATATCTACTCTTTCACTTGACCCTATAACATCTTTTACCATCACCTGACCCTACAACATCTACCTTCACATGACTCTATAACATCTACCATCACCTGACCCTACAGCATCTACCATCACCTGATCCTATAACATCTTACCTTCACCTGACTTCTAAGCAATATCTACTTCAACCCCTGACGCTATAATATCTACAATTACCTGACTTCTACAGCATCTACCATCACCTGACCCCAAATACCATCTACGAACACCTGACCCTACATCATCTACTGCCACCTGACTCCTACAGCATCCACAATTACCTGACTCTACAGCATCCATACTATACCTGACCCTACAACATCTACCTTTCACCTGACACTCATAATATGAACCATCTCTTTGACTCTCTACATCTACCTTTCATATGATCCTATAACATCTACCATCACCTGACCCTACAGCATCTACCACCACCACCTTACAGCATCTACCTTTCACCTGCCCCTACAATATCTACCTTCAACTGACCCTATAACATCTACCATCACCTGACCCTACAGCATCTACCATCACCTGACCCTACAACATATACCAACACCTGACTTCTACAACATCTACCATCACTCTGACCTCTTACAGCATCTACCTTTCAACTGACCCTACAACATCTACCTTCACCTGTCCCTACAATGTCTACTCTCATCACCAGGCTCCTACAACATCTACCTCTTAACTTGACCTATAACATCTACCATCACCTGACCCTACAACATCTACCTTTCACATGACTCCTATAACATCTACCATCACCTGAACCCCAGCATCATCTACCAACACCTGACCCTGCAAATATCTACCATCACCTGACTTCCTACAGCATCCACAATTACCTGGACCCTACAAATATCTACCTTCACTTGAACGCATAATATTCCACCATCACTCTGACTTCTACATCTACAAAACCTGACCCTACAACATCTACCATCAGCTAACTCTCTACAGCATCTTACCATCACTTGACCTACAACATATGCCATCACCTGACCCTACAACATCTAACAACACCACCAGGCCCCTACGACATCTACCTTAACCTTGACCCTATAACATCTACAATCACCTGACTCTACAACATTCTACCTTTCTTCACTTGATCCTATAACATCTACCATCACCTGACCCTACAACATCTACCTTAACATGACCCTATAACATCTACCATCACCTGACCCTACATCATCATCTACCAACACCTGGCCTTACAGCATCTACCATCACCTAACTCTACAACATCTACCAACATTCTTGACCCTACAGCATCTACCAGCAGCTGACCATTCAACATCTACCATCACCAGGCCCTACAACAACTACCTTCACTAGAACCGACAACATCTACGTCTACCTGGGCCCAACAAAATCTTTACATTCACCAGGCCCTGCAACATCTACCTTCACATGACCCTAAAACATTTACCATCACCTGACCCTACAGCATCTACCTTCACATGACCCTACAACATCTACCAACACCTAACGCTACAACATCTTACCATCACCTGACCCTACAACATCTACCATCACTTGACCCTACAGTATCCTACTCATTACCTGACCCTACAACATCTACCATCACCTGACCTTACAACATCTACCAACACCTGACGCTACAACATTTACCATCACCTGACCCTACAACATCTACCTTCACTTGACCCTACAGCTACCTCAATTACCTGACCCTACAACATCAACCATCACCTGACCCCTTAATATCTACCATCACTTGACCCTACAAATATCTACCTCACATGACCCTACAACATCTACCAACAACTGACCTGCAATATCTACCAACAGCTGACCATACAACATCTACTATCACCAGGCCCTACAACATCTACCAACACCTGACCCTATAATATCTACCATCACCTGACTCTACAGCATCTAAAATCACCTGACCCCACATCATCTACCAACACCTGACCCTACATCTCTACCTTTCACATGACCCTATAACATCTAACATCACTCTGACCCTACAGTATCTAGCATCACCTGACCCTACAACATGTACCATCACCTGACTCTACAACATCTAACATCAGCTACTCTACAACATCTACCATAACCTGACCCTACAGCATCTACCATCACCTGATCCTACAACATCTACCAACGGCTGACCCTACAACGCCTACCATCACGAGGCCCTCTACAACATCTACCATCACCTGACCCTACAACATCTACCAATAGCTGACCCTACAACATCTACCATCACCAGACCTTACACCATCTACTTTCACCTGACCCCACAGCATCTACCAACACCTGACTCTACAACATCTACCATCACCAGGCCCTACAATATCTACCAACACCTGACCCTATAACATCTACCAAAACTTGACCCTACAACAGCTACCATAGCCTGACCCTACAACATCTACCATCACCTGACCCTACAACATCTACCAATAGCTGACCCTACAACATCTACCATCACCAGACCTTACAGCATCTACTTTCACCTGACCCCACAGCATCTACCAACACCTGACTCTACAACATCTACCATCACCTGACCCTACAACATCTACCATCACCTGACCCTACAACATCTACCTTCACATGACCCTATAACATGTACCATCACCTGACCCTACAGCATCTACCATCACCTGATCCTATAACATCTACCATCACCTGACTCTACAACATCTACCATCACTTTACCCCACAGCATCTACCTTAACCTGACCCTATAACATCTACCATCACCTGACCCTACAATATCTACCTTCACTTGACCCTATAACATCTACCATCACCTGACCCTACAACATCTACCTTCACATGACTCTATAACATCTACCATCACCTGACCCTACAGCATCTACCATCACCTGATCCTATAACATCTACCATCACCTGACTCTACAACATCTACCAACCCCTGACGCTATAACATCTACAATCACCTGACTCTACAGCATCTACCATCACCTGACCCAACATCATCTACCAACACCTGACCCTACATCATCTACCATCACCTGACTCTACAGCATCCACAATTACCTGACTCTACAGCATCCACAATTACCTGACCCTACAACATCTACCTTCACCTGACACTATAATATGAACCATTTCTTGACTCTACATCTACCTTCATATGATCCTATAACATCTACCATCACCTGACCCTACAGCATCTACCATCACCTCACCCTACAGCATCTACCTTCACCTGACCCTACAACATCTACCTTCACCTGACCCTATAACATCTACCATCACCTGACCCTACAGCATCTACCATCACCTGACCATACAACATATACCAACATCTGACTCTACAACATCTACCATCACCTGACCCCACAGCATCTACCTTCACCTGACCCTATAACATCTACCATCACCTGACCCTACATCATCTACCATCACCTGACCCTACATCTACCATCACCTGACCCTGCAACATCTACCATCACCTGACTCTACAGCATCCACAATTACCTGACCCTACAACATCTACCTTCACTTGAACGTATAATATCTACCATCACTTGACTCTACATCTACCAAAACCTGACCCTACAACATCTACCATCAGCTAACTCTACAGCATCTACCATCACTTGACCCTACAACATATGCCATATCACCTGACCCTACAACATCTAACATCACCAGGCCTCTACGACATCTACCTTAACCTGACCTATAACATCTACAATCACCTGACTCTACAACATCTACCTTCACTTGATCCTATAACATCTACCATCACCTGACCCTACAACATCTACCTTAACATGACCCTATAAAATCTACCATCACCTGACCCTACATCATCTACCAACACCTGGCCTTTACAGCATCTACCATCACCCAACTTCTACAACATCTACCAACACTTGACCCTACAGCATCTACCAGCAGCTGACCATTCAACATCTACCATCACCAGGCCCTACAACAACTACCTTTCACTTAGAACTGACAACATCTACGTTCACCTGGCCCAACAAAATCTACATTCACCAGGCCCTGCAACATCTACCTTTCACATGACCCTAAAACATTTACCATCACCTGACCCTACAGCATCTACCTTCTCACATGACCCTACAACATCTACCAACACCTAACGCTACAACATCTACCATCACCTGACCCTACAACATCTACCATCACTTGACCCTACAGTATCATCAATTACCTGACCCTACAACATCTACCATCACCTGACCCTACAACATCTACCAACACCTGACGCTACAACATCTACCATCACTCTGACCCTACAACATCTACCTTTCACTTGACCCTTACAGCATCCTCACTACCTGACCCTACAACATCAACCATCACCTGACCCCTTAATATCTACCATCACTTGACCCTACAACATCTACCTTCACATGACCCTACAACATCTACCAACAACTGACCCTACAACATCTACCAACAGCTGACCATACAACATCTACCATCACCAGGCCCTACAACATCTACCAACACCTGACCCTATAACATCTACCATCACCTGACTCTACAGCATCTAAAATCACCTGACCCCACATCATCTACCAACACCTGACCCTACATCCTCTACCTTCACATGACCCTATAACATCTAACATCACCTGACCCTACAGTATCTAGCATCACCTGACCCTACAACATGTACCATCACCTGACTCTACAACATCTAACATCAGCTACCTCTACAACATCTACCATAACCTGACCCTACAGCATCTACCATCACCTGATCCTACAACATCTACCAACGGCTGACCCTACAACGCCTACCATCACGAGGCCCTACAACATCTACCATCACCTGACCCTACAACATCTACCAATAGCTGACCCTACAACATCTACCATCACCAGACCTTACACCATCTACTTTCACCTGACCCCACAGCATCTACCAACACCTGACTCTACAACATCTACCATCACCAGGCCCTACAATATCTACCAACAACTGACCCTATAACATCTACCAAAACTTGACCCTACAACAGCTACCATAGCCTGACCCTACAACATCTACCATCACCTGACCCTACAACATCTACCAATAGCTGACCCTACAACATCTACCATCACCAGACCTTACAGCATCTACTTTCACCTGACCCCACAGCATCTACCAACACCTGACTCTACAACATCTACCATCACCTGACCCTACAACATCTACCATCACCTGACCCTACAACATCTACCTTCACATGACCCTATAACATGTACCATCACCTGACCCTACAGCATCTACCATCACCTGATCCTATAACATCTACCATCACCTGACTCTACAACATCTACCATCACTTTACCCCACAGCATCTACCTTAACCTGACCCTATAACATCTACCATCACCTGACCCTACAATATCTACCTTCACTTGACCCTATAACATCTACCATCACCTGACCCTACAACATCTACCTTCACATGACTCTATAACATCTACCATCACCTGACCCTACAGCATCTACCATCACCTGATCCTATAACATCTACCATCACCTGACTCTACAACATCTACCAACCCCTGACGCTATAACATCTACAATCACCTGACTCTACAGCATCTACCATCACCTGACCCAACATCATCTACCAACACCTGACCCTACATCATCTACCATCACCTGACTCTACAGCATCCACAATTACCTGACTCTACAGCATCCATAATTACCTGACCCTACAACATCTACCTTCACCTGGCACTATAATATGAACCATCTCTTGACTCTACATCTACCTTCATATGATCCTATAACATCTACCATCACCTGACCCTACAGCATCTACCATCACCTCACCCTACAGCATCTACCTTCACCTGACCCTACAACATCTACCTTCACCTGACCCTATAACATCTACCATCACCTGACCCTACAGCATCTACCATCACCTGACCCTACAACATATACCAACATCTGACTCTACAACATCTACCATCACCTGACCCCACAGCATCTACCTTCACCTGACCCTACAACATCTACCTTCACCTGTCCCTACAACGTCTACCATCACCAGGCCCTACAACATCTACCTTAACCTGACCCTATAACATCTACCATCACCTGACCCTACAACATCTACCTTCACATGACTCTATAACATCTACCATCACCTGAACCCACATCATCTACCAACACCTGACCCTACATCATCTACCATCACCTGACCCTACATCTACCATCACCTGACCCTGCAACATCTACCATCACCTGACTCTACAGCATCCACAATTACCTGACCCTACAACATCTACCTTCACTTGAACGTATAATATCTACCATCACTTGACTCTACATCTACCAAAACCTGACCCTACAACATCTACCATCAGCTAACTCTACAGCATCTACCATCACTTGACCCTACAACATATGCCATCACCTGACCCTACAACATCTAACATCACCAGGCCCTACGACATCTACCTTAACCTGACCCTATAACATCTACAATCACCTGACTCTACAACATCTACCTTCACTTGATCCTATAACATCTACCATCACCTGACCCTACAACATCTACCTTAACATGACCCTATAACATCTACCATCACCTGACCCTACATCATCTACCAACACCTGGCCTTACAGCATCTACCATCACCTAACTCTACAACATCTACCAACACTTGACCCTACAGCATCTACCAGCAGCTGACCATTCAACATCTACCATCACCAGGCCCTACAACAACTACCTTCACTAAACCGACAACATCTACGTTCACCTGGCCCAACAAAATCTACATTCACCAGGCCCTGCAACATCTACCTTCACATGACCCTAAAACATTTACCATCACCTGACCCTACAGCATCTACCTTCACATGACCCTACAACATCTACCAACACCTAACGCTACAACATCTACCATCACCTGACCCTACAACATCTACCATCACTTGACCCTACAGTATCCTCAATTACCTGACCCTACAACATCTACCATCACCTGACCCTACAACATCTACCAACACCTGACGCTACAACATCTACCATCACCTGACCCTACAACATCTACCTTCACTTGACCCTACAGCATCCTCAATTACCTGACCCTACAACATCTACCATCACCTGACCCTTTAATATCTACCATCACTTGACCCTACAACATCTACCTTCATATGACCCTACAACATCTACCAACAACTGACCCTACAACATCTACCAACAGCTGACCATACAACATCTACCATCACCAGGCCCTACAACATCTACCAACACCTGACCCTATAACATCTACCATCACCTGACCCCACAGCATCTAAAATCACCTGACCCCACATCATCTACCAACACCTGACCCTACATCCTCTACCTTCACATGACCCTATAACATCTAACATCACCTGACCCTACAGTATCTAGCATCACCTGACCCTACAACATGTACCATCACCTGACTCTACAACATCTAACATCAGCTACCTCTACAACATCTACCATAACCTGACCCTACAGCATCTACCATCACCTGATCCTACAACATCTACCAACGGCTGACCCTACAACGCCTACCATCACGAGGCCCTACAACATCTACCATCACCTGACCCTACAACATCTACCAATAGCTGACCCTACAACATCTACCATCACCAGACCTTACAGCATCTACTTTCACCTGACCCCACAGCATCTACCAACACCTGACTCTACAACATCTACCATCACCGGGCCCTGCAACATCTACCTTCACATGACCCTATAACATCTACCATCACCTGACCCTACAGCATCTACCATCACCTGACCCTACATCATCTACCAACACCTGACTCTACAACATCTACCATCACCTGACTCTACAGCATCTACCTTCACCTGACCCTACAACATCTACCTTCACATGACCCTATAACATCTATCACAGCCTGGCACTACAACATCTACCATCACCTGACCCTACACAATCTACCAACACCTGACTCTACAACATCTAACAACACCTGACTCTACAACATCTACCATGACCTGACTCTACAACAACTACCATGACCTGACTCTACAACATCTACCAAGGCTTGACCCTACAAAATCTACCAACACCTGGCCCTACAATATCTACCAACACCTGGCACTACATCATCTACCATCACCTGACCCTACAACATCTACCATCACCTGACTCTGCAACATCTACCAAGGCTTGACCCTACAAAATCTACCAACACCTACCTTGGGTACTATTAGCACAGGGGAAATGTAGGAGCGCTTGCGGCTTGCAATGGGTGAAGTGAAAACGAAAGAGAAAGTAGAAAATGCCCGTCCTTCACGTTGTTGTCCGGTAGTTAAGTCATTACTAGGAAGTCAGACTCAGAATACCTAGCAACTGCTGACAACGAGTGGTACATGCGACACAGTGACCAGGTATGTGAATTGCGCTTTGTTACAAATACATGCAGTGATTGCCTTTCTTTTTGTTATACGAGAGGTCAATGAGTGTGATATGAGGCACAAGCGATGTCTGTTAACATGTCATCACAGATGGGTAAGGCAGTGTTCTCAGAATCCTTCGACAGGTGAAGGCGTCCTCGTCATATTGGTGACCAGATAGTGACAAAATTATTGATATCCGTTCTTGTCATGCCAGATTTGATTGTTAACCAAATGTAACGATTTCGGGATGGACAAAAGTGAAATGCATAGGTTTGATTTCCCAGATCTATAAATAAACCTTTCGCAGAACCTAAACAGGTTTCTGGGAATAGGTGCGATACTACTCAATCGATACATTAGCTAAGGTACATAGCGTTCACTAACATGAACGCAATGCAGCACCTCCATAGGCCGCAATGGTGGAAATCCTTTGTCGCACTTTCGCGCACTCGTTACGATTTCTGCGCACGAAAAACTTATATGAATGACTTCTTTGTAGTTATACCTACACGTGCGCCCTATTTTGCTTCTTAAAATATCTAAAACTAAATATTTACAAGTCATCAAACATCTCAGTCGATCGCATTAGCGGCGCCATTTTGAATCACGTGACCCGTGACGCGAAGGGGATATCCCTCCCTAAAATAGTAACACACATGTTCCATACCTCGTTGCTCGTTTACAACGTATGTTTATACATTTTTAGGCAATTAAAACGATTGTATGGAGATAGTATATTGTACTTGATATACTGTATACTGCATGTGATATACAGTATGCTGCACTTGATATACTGCATACTGCATGTGATATACACTATATTGCACTTGATATGCTGTATACTGCATGTGATATACACTATATTGCACTTGATATACTGTATACTGCAGTGATATACAGTATATTGCACTTGGTATACTGTATACTGCATGTGATATACACTATATTGCACTTGATATACTGTATACTGCATGTGATATACACTATATTGCACTTGATATACTGTATACTGCATGTGATATACAGTATATTGCAATTGATATACTGTATACTGCATGTAATATACATGTTTTCTGTAATCATATTCTCCTTGCAACCACTATCTTATCAAGGCACAGACATCATTCCACGTGACGCTTTTTAGTGAAAAATACTCCACAAAAAATGAACGTCTGTGTTTGTGCATGTGTGCGCGTGCGTGTGTGCACGTTCGCGAGTGTGCTTGTCTGACTTGTGGTATTACATTTGTCAACTTATAAGATATTTGATTTTTACATCAAATAACCATTTGAGCTGGTGGTGTGGACATTGTTTGAGATCAGCCTTTTTGAATATATGGAAGCTCAATACTTTTTTCCAACGTAAGTGCTCCTGTTTCAGTTTGGTCATATTGCAATCATTAATGCCTGATAGTCTCTCCCTAATATAACATGTTTGAGTGATCACACATGAGTGAGTGAGTGAGTTGGGTTTAGCAATATTCCAGCAATATCACGGCGGGGGACACAAGAAATGGGCCTCATAAATAGTACCCATGTGGGGAATCAAACCCAGGTGTTCGATGTGACGAACGGACGCTTTAACCACTAGGCTACCCCACAGCCTTCTATAGTCGGAACCGGATTATGATTTTACTGTAAACGCGATCAACAACATAAACAACGACGTTTCAATGTAGACTCTTGAACCGTTACCAAGCCAAGAGTGACTACAACCAATCACTGTTTGTGAGAAGTATATATACATAGTATGTTATGACAAACTGCAGATTAACTATAGAATCTATCAATGCACCCTATCAGCTCGTTGTTACTACTTCATCCACCCTTGTTTATTGGTTTCATCAACAGAGCTATTTGTTGCTCTTGGTCACTTAATGGCCTCTTCTAATTATGTACCACTTACATTCAATTACAAGCTGTTGACAATGCTAATCTTCATGCTTCAGTATGTACAGCTATACTTCTCATCATTTGGTTGTAGTTACTTTTAGCTTGGTAACGGATGAAGCATCTACGTAGAAACGGTGTTAGCATAGATATGTTGAGAGATGCATCCTGACTGACTGACTGAGTTTGGTTTACGCCGCTTTTAGCAATATTCCAGCAACATCACGGCGGGAGACACCAGAAATGGGCTTCACCCATTGTGCCCATGTGGGGATTCGAACCCGGGTCTTCGGCGTGAGAGCTGCATCCACTGTGAAGACGGTTTAAATCCAGCTAGGGTCCATGGGCCCTATTATGGTCATCCACCTTCAGTTGATTGTGATCTACAAACCACTTTATGTTGCATTGTTTTCTGTAGTGTATCTTCTCTATGGTAATATCTAATATCTGTTATCCTCCAATAGTTTTATATCTCCTGTGTGTACTTTAATTTCTAAATAGAACTTTTAAGATATTAATTGTTCTCGTCGTGATATGACTGAAATATTGCCGCGAAATATTACTCACTCACACACTTGTATGATGTGTCTGACCAGATGAAAACAGGTGAGCTTCCAAGCCATTAGTGTTATCATTTTACATCATGCACGTGTTATTTAAACGCAATATGTTCACATAAATTATTCGTGGACTCTTGCAAATATAGCAGTCGCCGCATCGAGTTTTGCTGGTAAAAATCATTTCCTGATTCTTGCAGACGCTGGAGAAATAGCAATGGCCACATCGAGTGATCTCGATACCCTGATCCAGTTGGAAGAAGATGAGGAGGAGGACTTTGAGCTGACACAACGTCGTATAGAGGCTGAGAGAGCTGCTAGGGAGGAAGAAGCGTTCAAAAGGAACACCCTCCATCTTGACATCCCCCAACTTCCAGACGGAAAAACACACCATCTTTTCATTTCCCACAGCAACGACCCTCCAGAAGAAGAAGCATGGGCAGAGGAACTGGTCAACACCATGGAACGAGACTTCGGCTTGAAATGTCTTTGGCCAAAACGAGACTTCACTCCTGGCCATGATGTGGGAGCTTTGATTCAGACAGGAATCATGTCGTCCATGAAGGTGGTCTTCGTTCTGTCCCCTGCTTCCATGGAAAGCCGATGGTGCGAATATGAGCGGAATTTTGCTTTTGGCATTTCTGTTGAAAGTAAGGAAAATCTCATCATTCCTGTTATGTTGAGCCAGTGCAACTTTCCAGGCATACTGAAGACACTGAATTATATTGATGTACCTGCTGGAGAGGACTATGCCTTCAAAATCCGTCGATGCTTTGACGAAGACACACGTACGTATAATGTAATTTCTCAGTTGAACCTTCAATAATTCATCACAAAACACAAAATCCTTTTCAGAGATTATTTTCTTATGAGGGGGACGCGAATTTGAACACTTTTAAGTCGGAGTGACAATCCAAGGAGAATATATAGGGCGACCCAGGGATTAGAATCCTAGATGGACAGACAATGGCGGGGGTAGAAGTTCACAGTTGCAGACCCTGAAATCGTTTAGCCAAAAATATGTAATTTTGCTTTTAGGTGTTTTGGATGCTCCAAAATGTGCCAGGCCATTCGTCACCACTAGACCCTTTCCGTAACCTCCAAGAAGACTCGTGCCCTCTCGATGAATGTTATGCGAAAATATAACAAAGTAATCAGAACGCGCGTAATGATTGCGGTGCTTTGACACAAATATCCCGAGGACTTAAATAGTTTGTGGCATTATGTCATAGTTTCGAAAATTATGAAATAATTAAACTATATATCGTCAAACTGAAAGTGCAAAGAACAAAGCTGACAGAATTGTGTTGCCTAATGTTAGGTTTTTTATAAGGATAACGTCATGGACAGTTATAGATTCAAATACACGCACGTGTGTTTGTTTACATAGCGGCTCTTATTGGTTCAACTGAACGTATTTCTGACGGTCTTGCGGGCTTGATTTAGAGATTTTACATGCGCCTTCCAACATTTTTAGGAAATATAATTATAAATTGTTGCAAGTTTCAAAACAATGTAATTATATATAACTAATCAACTTAACCTTTAACATTGGGCACATATTTCACATCTATGAGGGTATCTTAGTTTGACGTTTCTAGGGTCATTCATATTTTTTTAGCTCATGTATTTTAAAGTTCAACCACGAATATGACAACAAGGTCACCCGAATGTTTAGTTTGAGAAATATTGTAATCATGTCATGTTTTTGGATTTAATGTAGCTGAAGTCTTTTTCATTTGCGTATTCAATGAAATAAATGCAATTAGTGATACTTAAACCCTATTTAGAAATATGCATTTAGAAATATGAAGTGTAGACGTTAATTACGTTAGAATTTGTGTTTAACAAATAGTTTTGTCTGCATGTTGTTTAACGCTAGGCTTCATTATTCCAACTATATGACGTGAAGATCCGGCTAGAACTGGTCTTCAGTAACCCATCCTTGTCATAACATTGCGAATAACAGGATCGGGTGATCAGACTCGCTGATTTGGTTGAAACATGTCAACGTATCCCAACTGCCAAGATCGATTCTCATTCTGTTGATCACTGGATCTTATTTTTGTAATTGAATCTTATTCTTTCCAGGCACTTTTGAATATCTTGTTCCGGAAATGATGAAACACTGGAAAAACGATAACGGTAAGGAAAAACAGCCAAAAATGTAAGGGTGTATGTGAGCAGTGTGTAGATTGGAATTCTTTCAACAGAAATTGTGTCTTAATGTTTGAAAACGAGATATTTGAAAGTCGTATCGACAATCTTAAACTGTAATATTCATTAATATCATATCTTAATTTTCAAGGGTCAAAGAATGGAACTGTTGTGAAGATAGTTGGAGAAAGAAATGTGAAATCCATCTGTAGGGAACCAGCCTGGTCTTTTCGAGATCTCGACAAGCACCAGCGCTACCAGCTTCGCCAACTTGGAAGCAAGGTACAGAAACTATGTTTATCACGAACACACGTATAATGAATGAACGGATATGTATATATATACTATCCCAAAAAAGAAACTCATATGCGTTTTGTATTTTTAAAAATCTATTAATTTTCAATAATGTGTTCAAACAAATGTCAAAATATGTAACAAAAGTGTTGATAACGTGATTTTTACACTATTGCACAAGGTTAAAAATTGACTTTACCTGAAAATGTTGATTTTGATGCGATTTCCTACAAGAATTAAAGAGGCATCGCCACAATGCAACAGAAATCACCTTCCACTTGAAATTGCGCAGCAAAGAGCATGCAATGTCTGACTTTAAAAATCCAGATTACTTTCGGAAATCGGCATTAGTTTTGTCAAGGTCAAATCACTACGCCACTTCACGACACGGACCATCGCCATTGAAAGAATGCACGCTGGAGATTACCAATTTTCTGTTGCCAGGCGTCTGAATGTTAGTCTGAACACGATATCACTGCTTGCAGCTCGTTACAACCAAACATGTACATCAAATGACCGTCCCCTTATAGCAGACATCGAGTCACCACTGCGGCTCAAGATCGGTACATCCGGGTACTACATTTGCGTGATCGTACTGCCACGGATGAGAGCTCCGCAGCCAGGGTGCCTGGACTTCGGAGGATATCCGGTCAAAGTGTACGGAACTGATTGAGAGAGATTGGACTGAGAGCCAGGACCATGCTGCGTGGTCACCATCGCGCTCAACGTCTCCGTTATCTAAAATTATCCACTTGGTTGTAAAGACATTTCCTTCTTCTAAACTGATGTAAAACTTCATGTCCTAAAGTTTATTTGTGGACGAGTTAAACATTGATTGGTGAAAAAATAAATAAACAGTATTATACAAACTATCGATTTTTGGAACTATGAACCGAATGAACATATGCTATATAATGAACCATTCCCTCATCTCCATGGTAACTTGATCTGACAGTGTTCATGACCATACTAGTCGGCAGTGGCTTGTGATAGGTCTTTCAGAACATCTAACTGGTCTGGAAATGCTGCACACATACAGAAGCACACCTTTGATACAAAGTCCATGCACTATCTACTCGGGGAAGAGAGACTGGAGGAAATTCAAATACAGCTAAAAGTGTATACATGTAATGGAGTCAAAATCATTTTGATATTCCTTTGGAACTGTAAATGTGTTAATTTCACGGTTGATCATAAATAAAGCAATCTTTCTGACTGACTTATGTTGTTATGTTGTAATAAGTAAATTGAGTGACCGAGTAATATTGAACAAACCTGAAGATATCATGCACATTATGTACATGTCACGTGCACTTTCTAGACTCTCAACTGAATTTAGTGATACAACTATTGCATTGATTTAGTGATACATCTATTGTATTGATTCTTAAACTGAGCAACATAGGTGTTGAAACATATTCTAAAAGTTTATTTCAGAACATATGTCCATATGGCAGTCCATAACGCAAAGCTAAAACTGTAACACTAACAGCAGGGTATGAAACTCCCAAAAACTTCAGCCAGACCACAGGGATGTTTAGATGTAAAGCTTGCCAGCCCTGGCAAAAACATACCTGCCCACAAAATATTTTCATATACATGTCTAAATTTTAACCAGACCGTTGGGCAGGTGAATTTTAGAAACTGGCAGTCCGTGTTGAAAATAACCCGTCCCGGGCGGTCGGGCAGGCAGGTATTTCGAACGCTGCTAACAGATAAGAGATATACTGTATAACCTACTGAGACATTATGGATTATCTTACGGGTATTTATTCATTTACAAGCGACAAATAACCTGTTATTACAAGTTTCAAGTACCGGTGAAGATCTGGGTTAGAATTGGTCTTGAGCAACCAATGCTTGCCATAAGAGGCGACTTACGGGATCGGGTGGTCAGGCTCGTTGACTTGGTTGACACATGTCATCATATCCCAACTGCGCCAATCAATGTTCATGATGTTGATCACGTAACTGTCTGGTCCAGACTCGATTATGTACAGACCGCCACCATATACACTCTTGAAAAAGGAAGCGCATAAGCCAGAAGAATTTATTTCATGTAGTTTCAATGGCTTCAATGGTTCGCCAATAAAACATGATCAGTTCGCCATAATAGGAAGCATGTAACGTGCAAGGACTTTGTTTCGTTGATGTACCGATCGCGATTTGCTGTCAAACTCCCCTGAACCACGACTAAATGAGATCTTTGTGAGCTGGATTATGAACCCCACACCATGACACAGCCTTCACCGAATCTTTAGACCTGTCGAATGCAATTAGAGGTCAAACATTCATTTCTCCGATTTTCCCAAATGGAAGTCTCTCAAAACAGGGGCGGCAACTAGCCTTCTTGTTCAAATCCGCACTTCACGCCATCGATTCCTGACAGTTTGGTGGGAAATTCTTCTCAAATCAGGGATGCGTGGTGCAGTCACCACAGCTGTGACAAAACGATGACGCATGTGTGCAACCAGGATGTAGCGGTCCTGGGCTTGTATTGTAACTTTTGTCGCCCGCGATCTTGGGCGGAATTGGTCTGCAGGAAACGATCCCAAAGGCGAGATATGGTGCTCTGATGAACGTTGAAACCGTGGCTATGACTGCCCAGTGGCGATGTTTCGACTGGCAGCACTCTGTCGTGGCATGATCAAATTTGTTTCAGGCAAAAACGATTGACAAAATTAAACACAACGTGTGCCTTTTGATAATAGTGATTGATACTGCATGCTTTTCCGTTTACTTGCACGCGCATTTCGCTTTACATGTCTTCTTGACGTTTTGGCGAGTATTTCATCAAACGCTTCTAAAACAAGAGTGTGGCCGGAGTGCGGCATTAAACAACAAACAAAACAAACGTGATTGAAGTATGTAATGAAAACAAATCAAAGTGACCTTTTAAGAAAGAAAAAGAAGATATAATAAACAAATGTCAACCCTAAGGCTCGCTGACTTGGCTGACACACGTCATCGTATCCCAATCGATGCTCATGATGTTGATCTGGACTGTCTGGTTCAGATTATTTACAGACCGCCGCCATATAGCTGGAATATTGCTGAGTGCGACGGTAAAAAACAAACAAACAAAGAAAACCAACAACAACAACAACAGCAGCAGCAGTAGCAGCAGCAGCAGCAGCAGAAGTACGTAAACGCATAAGTTACTGAAACAATCCATACAACAAAAGGGCAAACTGTTTACTGAAAACAATGAATCATTCGGGTTTTCGTTTGTTTGGAAGCAGTGACTGATATTTCTGGGACTTTAACACATTTACGTTTGTTTCAGTTTGCTGAGAGAGTTTATTACGGTGCAAAGGATATTGCCAACAGCTCTATCTGCATGAAGTACTATTCCATCATCCACTCTCCTTGTCCTTGTTTCGGCGTTTGGCTTGGCAGCACTATATTTTGCATTGCATTGTCACTGCTAATTGTCTTCATCACCGTAGCATCAGGAATAAGCATGGGATATGAGGTTCTTTATGTACCCCTCCTTATACTCATACTCGCGATTTCCCTCGGTGTTGTTGGTCCGTGCTATACATTTGCGGGTAAGTACATGCGACTTTATTGAACTAAAATGCCGGGCAAAAGAAAGTACAGGTTTTTCAAATCGTAACGGTTTTGACGTTTTCCATTAAATTTGATGTAAATGTGCTAGGTAACGATTGCCAATGTTCGTGATGCACGAAACAAATTACCAAAACGCATTTTGTGGCCCCGACTCTTAGAAACATGAAACACGTGCAAAATATGTATTAGTTGTATGTCATGAAAAGATCGTGTGAACAAAATCAGTATAAATGGACTTGTCGAACACTGCAATGTCACTGTACATAAAATCACTCGGAGAGAATGCCAAGGTTATCCCAGGAAGAAGGAGAGCGATCAGTAGGGATGGCCCACATAGGTGTGACGTACGTCCACATAGCGAGTTTGTTCAATTGCACACGGCTGGCTGTGTCCAGACTTCTGCAACGCCAAAGCCCCGTCAGTCTGTACCGGACAGATGGCAGGAACATGTATACAGACGAGCGTTTAGTACCTCAATGTATACGGGAGGTCCATCCTTACGGTGGCGGTGGTGTCTTGGTATGGGATTGCATCATCGATGATGTAAAAATACCTCTGGTCATCATAAATGGAAATCTGAACGCTCGTCAGTATATTTATCAAGTCCTTCAGCCAGTTGCACTGCCGTCTGTACACAATCAACAAGTCATCATTTTTCAACATGACAATGTGAGGCCTCCCACTGCAAGAGCAACTCGTTACTTTTTACAACACGACAACCTTGATGTTTTACCATGGCCAGCCTGCTCACCAAACATGAATCCGATTGAACACTTATGGAACCACCTGGATAGACAAATCAGACGCCGTCGGCAAATTCCACAAGACCGACGAGAGCTGGAACGAGCACTTAGAGAAGAATGGCAACGGGTACCTGCTAACGTCATTGAGAAGACATATCCGGGTATCTATTGACATGGGAGGAGGTCATACACGTTATTGACTCAGACCATACTTAGGAGATAAACGTACTGTGCTTGGAAATTCGATGAATGTTAGACCGAATTGATAGTCTCTAAATTTCACTGATTTGAAACTGAACGCGTAGCCTAACGCAATGATTTGTGCAAATGCAACTAACTTGGGATTCCTTGGAAATCGTTTTCATCATTTGGGACAGGATTGTGGCCAAGCGTATTTTAAACCGTACGAACATGGATCACCAGCAGTCACAGCCTTGCGGGTAAGCTGGCAGAAAGCAAAGTTCCGGTTGGTTCAATTTTTTACATGTATTTTGTGAACGATGCAACGGGACATGATGCAGAATGAGTGGCATAAATTCAGGGTTTCGCCTGACAATTATCTTGCGGATTTCCGCAAAAAAGTGTGGAAGGTGTGACGCAAAAGAAGAGTTTCAAACGTACTGGATATTTTATGCTGTGTAAACCATTCTAAACGGAGACAAAAAATAAATATTCCGTTTACCAGGTAGGCAAATTTTACTTACGCTTTGCTGTGAGTTTTGTATAAATAAGGATGTATTTTCAGAAGGCTTTCTGATTTATAAGTTAGATATTGTTTGTTTATGGTTGGGGCCGTACATTGTAATTGAGTTTGAATGTTTTTATAATAGAAGGTAATGTTATAGTGAGGTTCCCTAATAATTGTGGAGGAAAAGATCATGCAATTGTATTTTCCGAGTTTTAATAAATATTTTATTAGCATATCCGTCACGTGTGTTGTGTTGATATTAGCCATGTTGGTGGCCTAGCTGAGGTAGTGAGGCAGTGATGTGTACGTTTGAAGTGAAGCGGTCACAAAATCAGACGCATTTTCAATCCAGATTGTTGGTGTCTAATTTTATTGATTGTCCAATCAAATGCAAATATTTCACGGAATCATGGTAGAATCTACGGTGTTGTGCTATCGACATTAATTGTCGACACAGATTTTGACAATCGAGTCAAACATAAGAGTTGTGTCTGTTTACATGGAGAATGCGAGGATGACGCCGGAATCTTATAAAATATATTGCACGGACATATCTTCTTTCGTCTTTGCTTTTTTGATAATGAAAATGGACCTATACTTTCTTTTGCCCGGCAGTTTATGTAGGAGGCTGTGGGTAGCCAAGTTGTTAACGTCGCGCCAAGAACCTGGGTTTGATTCCCTATCTTGGTACAATTTGTGAAATTCATTTCTGGTGTAAAGAAGATGCGGGGCGGAATGGGGTTTAACTGCATCTACTATATTACATCTGTAGATGCAAGAACACAACTCCAAGTCTCTCATCGACAGGGATATATAACACCAATTATATATTATAACAATTTTCGTTATTCGTTGACAAGGGATAGCTATTTCAAATCACTACCTATGGAGGATCTTTTTAATAATATCAGCCTCATTTAGTTATAGGATTTTTGAAAGAAATAGATTTGTTAAATGATCTGTAAATAGATAAATATTTTATGCTTGGAAGTTTAGATTATCAACTGAGATTGTTTGTGGCAGTATCCTCAAATGGGGTTAAAGTACTGTTAAATTATTGTCCCACTGAGAGGGTACATAAGTACCAAAACATTCAAAGTAAATTAAAACTCTCCACTACTCTAATCGTAGAATATGTGTCCTTTTAATGTCTGGCTAGATTTATCTAAATTGCTAACGGCTGAAGGGATGGTGTAAATCAAGCTAGGGTCCATGCTGGAAGCAAATGTACTGTAAGTCCCCATGGCCCTTGGAATGGTGATCTACCTTTAGTTGTTGGCAATCTATAGCCTGTTTTTATATTGTATTGTCATTCCTTGTTAAAATATTTTAGATTTAATTACTGGTTTTACATTTATTTCGGTGATAATCTAGTTGTTTGTCTGTTCTTTGCAGACAGGTAAGTATACTATCATGTAAAGTACACAATATTAAATAAGTAGGCAATACCTTTATACAGATGACTGTTTACTCACGATCGATCAATGACGGAGATCTTCAGTGAGAGTAAACACATCAAGTATAGCATGGATAATTAAATACAATATAATCCTCTAGCCCTCCACAAGTCATTGTCGGATCATGACAAAGTTGTGTCAAGGATTGAAAGAATCAGTTCTGACTAGAACTCAGGTTTGAGTTAAACAGAGTGCAATGTCTAGGATTGTCCTCAAGTCATCGGGAAAAGTCTCTAACCACTACACCACGGAGGCGGTATGAGAGGAAAGACATCATGTATAACATGGATAATTAAATAACATATAATCCTCTAAATATGTGATTAAAATACTCACATTTGTGTTGCTTTACAGACAGGTTTGCACACAGCCAGGTGACTATGTGGATAGTACAGTGAAAGAGTATTTGCGTGAACAATTTTTTGCAAGTGTTAGGTCATGTGATCATCAATTATGAAAGTGAGTCTATACACTTGCTGGTTAAATTTGCAAATGTTTTACCATTAAGCTGGATTTCAACCCTAGCACATTGGATTTCAAGACTCTTGTGTTAACCACTAGGCCACCGTACAAGACACTCATACATGCCTGGTTTAACATACGGAACGTTGCAGAATATACAAATAACTAGCATTAGCAATAACAGCATCGTATTGTTGTCTATCCATAAAAAGTGTACCTCTTCATCATACCAGCTTCTAAATGCCACTTGAAGATGTTTAACTGCTCCGTTGAAGAATACTGCACTCAGACAGTGACACGCTTGTGACAGTTTGACACATTATACGGACTATCGGCCGACGTTTAATACTGAATATCAAATCCAGCGCCTTGCTACCAGGCACGTCCACAGTGCCTTTTACCTATAATGTTATACTCGATGTCCATTTCTTTCTGCTCTCTCAAGGTCTCCTGATACATTGATGCCATGTCAATTGTGTCAACCTTGTGTTGTTCCACCAGGATATGCTCATGTGCACAAGTCACCAAAGCAACCTTGTGTTGTTCCACCAGGATATGCTCATGTGCACAAGTCACCAAGGCAACCTTGTGTTGTTCCACCAGGATATGCTCATGTGCACAAGTCACCAAGGCAACCTTGTGTTGTTCCACCAGGATATGCTCATGTGCACAGGTCACCAAGGCAACCTTGTGTTGTTCCGCATGGATATGCTCATGTGCACAAGTCACCAAGGCAACCTTGTGTTGTTCCACCAGGATATGCTCATGTGCACAAGTCACCAAGGCAACCTTGTGTTGTTCCACCAGGATATGCTCATGTGCACAAGTCACCATGGTTGCCATTCCTGGTGTCCCCCGCCGTGATATTGTGAAAGATTGCTAAAAGTGCGTAAACTAAACTTATTCACTCACCATGCCTTACACCATATTTTACTTCTCATAACGTAATGTTTCATGTACTTACTTGTTTCTTTTACAGATGGAAAAGAGATTGAGAGCTCGACTGCGAGCATATTCTATTGAGCGTGTTTTTGAAACAAATATCCTCATCGACTATAAATCAAGAAAATGTCAACCAAACGTATCCTTTGGGAAATCATCTGCAGCAGCATCATCGATTCTTTTTTTTTCTTCCTCTGTAGCATCGTTTCCAGAACCCTTTAATGGTTGTAATATAAAAATGTCAGCCCAAACGAATACCTAATCTTGACTATCCACAGAAAAAGATTCGTTTTGGTGTGCAGGGAATATAGCTGTAAAATGTATATAAATAGGTCACAGAAAATCATAGATACAGTCTTATCTAAAACATTTCATACTTTGGCAGTGCACTCATCTCAGTATTGTCAGCTCAAATTACTTATTCAAAAGCAATACTGAACAGATAAAGGAACCCACTTTTAAACCAGCTTCATTATGATTGGTCATATGACTTGCCTTAACCTTGTCTTCAGTTGGATGTCACGTATTACGACCTACAACCATGTATGGTGAGTATCAAATTGGCTTGATATAATAGTGATTAGAATGGAACCTTTCATTTCTGTAAATACCGCTGATGACACGGAGGCATTTGATATGTGTGACAAAAGGTTAACGTGTGTCGTCGTTTTGCATGTGTGTCATCGTTTTGTATGTATGTCGTCGTTTTGTATGTATGTCGTCGTTTTGTATGCGTGTCGTCGTTTTGTATGTGCCCACTTTTTGTATGTATGTCGTCGTTTTGTATGTGTCGTCGTTTTGTATGCATGTCGTCATTTTGCATGTGTGTCATCGTTTTGTATATGTCATCGTTTTGTATGTGTTTCGTCGTTTTGCATGTGCGTCATCGTTTTGTATGTATGTCGTCGTTTTGTATGTATGTCGTCGTTTTGTATGTGTCGCCGTTTTGTATTATGTCGTCGTTTTGTATGTGTCGTCATTTTTTGTGTGTCTTCATTTTGTATGTTGTCGTTTTGTATGTGTATGGTCGTTTTGTATGTATGTCATCGTTTTGTATATGTGTCGACGTTTTGTATGTCGTCGTTTTGTATGTATGTACTTGTTTTGTATACGTGTCGTCGTGTTGTATACGTGTCGTCATTTTGTATACATGTCGTCGTTTTGTATACGTGTCGTCGTGTTGTATACGTGTCGTCATTTTGTATACGTGTCGTCTTTTTGTATACGTGTCGTCGTTTTGTATACGTGTCGTCGTTTTGTATGCGTGTCGTCGTGTTGTATACGTGTCGTCGTTTTGTATATCGTCGTTTTGTATACGTGTCGTCATGTTGTATACGTGTCGTCGTTTTGTATACGTGTCGTCATTTTGTATACGTGTCGTCGTTTTGTATACGTGTCGTCATTTTGTATACATGTCGTCATTTTGTATACGTGTCGTCATTTGTATTTGTGCCGTCGTTTTGTATGTATGTCATCGTTTTGTATGTCGTCGTTTTGTATGTGTGTCGACGTTTTGTATGTGTGTCGTCGTTTTGTATACGTGTCGTCGTGGTGTATACATGTCGTCGTTTTGTATACATGTCGTCGTGTTGTATACATGTCGTCATTTTGTATACATGTCGTTTTGTATACGTGTCGTCGTGTTGTATACGTGTCGTCGTTTTGTATACATGTCGTCGTTTTGTATACGTGTCGTCATTTTCTATACGTGTCGTGTTGTATACGTGTCGTCATTTTGTATACGTGTCGTCTTTTTGTATACGTGTCGTCGTTTTGTATACGTGTCGTCGTTTTGTATGCGTGTCGTCATTTTGTCTGTGTGTCTTCGTTTTTACAGATGGAAAAGAGATTGAGAGCTCGACTGCGAGCATATTCTATTGAGCGTGTTTTTGAAACAAATATCCTCATCGACTATAAATCAAGAAAATGTCAACCAAACGTATCCTTTGGGAAATCATCTGCAGCAGCATCATCGATTCTTTTTTTTCTTCCTCTGTAGCATCGTTTCCAGAACCCTTTAATGGTTGTCTTCGTTTTGCGTGTGTATCGTCGGTTGTAATGTCTTATGCTAGGATGGTATGCGGTGTCGGATATGTGACACCCTATTTGGTATGTACTGTCAGTTGTAATCTGGTACCTGCCGTGTCCGTTTTAGAAATACTTATGTGACATCATTGACGGACCACGTGAGGCTGGTGAAACAGTCCCAGACAGAGGCGAAGAGGTAAGGAATTGTAAAAAAAAAAACTCTGGAAAGTATAACCGACATGTGTCAAACATGTGTCAACGTCATAATCATGTGTTTATGAATCACAGTGAAATAGCAATGGTAGAGGGTGTACACGAAAAGCTGAGTCTGCCCCTAACGTCGTATCAGTCACAAACACTTGCAACGGCAGGTCAATTTTTCACATGACATAATGGCTTAAGAGAAAATATGGAATGGCACTGGACTTCATTTTGCCACCGATGCTCCAAATTTGTCTAACACATGTCTACAGAAACGTTTGAATGCTTCGAGGTGTTGATACATCCTGAAAGGAAACTGACTGATCAAGAACTTTCACTTTTCAGATACCGCTTTGATTCACAAATATATATTTACCTATGCTAACAAGAGTGGATATCTGATAATGCTGTTGGTTGAGACAAAACATACATGATGCATATCGTTAGGTAAATGTATGTAGAATGTAATCTATAAGTGTCTACCACTTGCCTGAACTTGCACATGTAAATTTGCTGCCATACCCCTAGTGAAATTTAAAATAAAGTAAAATGTGTGTACGGTGTTTAAGCGTAAAGTTGAATAGTTAATAAAGATTTATTGTTTTGTAGCAATATATAATGACATAATGTCAACTAAAACGTACTGTTCCATCGATATATGAGCAAAAGGTGAATGACAGGCAGACAAACGTTTGCCTTCTAACGTGATTTTCAAAACAATTCAACGGTGACCATATTTGGGATGTGTGTGAAAAGTCGTTCGGCACTTTTTATATTTTATTTTGCATATTTGTATTCATACATTATACATTATAAGGACACATAGACTATGTAGTAATATTAATTACTCGTGAAATACCATCACTTGTATTATATAATTCGTTCCCATATGATTTCATGTAATGTTTGTCGTATGAGAAGACTAAAGGGTGTGTCAGACTCGTAGATTTGGTTGATGCATGTCTTTGTTTCCCAAGTGTGCATAGTAACGCTCATTATGTCAATCACTGGGTTTTTTGGTCACGACTCGATTATTTTCAGAATGTCGTCATATAGCTGGAGTGTGGTGTTAAACAATAACAAACAAACAAACAAACACAACCCATCAAGTTATTGCGTGGGTGGTATATCTTTTGCCTGTCCCAAGCATTTAACTGTTTGATATTCTATGAATGTCCTGTTAATGGCAGAATTTATCAGTATCTACCTCACTCATAAACTGTGATTTGTGCTGCTTGTTGGTAATAATCATCTTTTTTAATTACAGGGAGGGACACGAAACACTGGAAAACGTTACATACTTTCTCTCATTGAAAGAAATTATGACTTTCTGTTTGGTGACAGTGTTGACACATCTGTTGTGGACAGGCATCCTACAGCACATAAACATAAGTGCATTTGCGAAATGTTGGAAAAACACGTGAGGCAAATGAGTGAAGAACAAATATGACCCATTTATGTAAAGTGTCGAAGACAAGCGCACCTTGCTTGCAATGAGAGCAAGTTCAGGAGAACCGGGTGGCAAGATGACTGCATGTCAGAGTGCACTGATGGCGAGGATCGTCGCCAATGATTTAGCAACTTGTATAACTTGTATGACGTCATTTACAGGTAGTTTAGTTGAAATTGGTCAACTGCAGCGTAACAAAATTCAAAATACTAAGTCTTTTAATAGTTTTGTAAGCAACGTTAGATATATGAGTCTTTTAATAGGTTTGTATCCAGTTAAAAATATCCACTTCTGTTGTTTAATATACCAGCGATTTCTGACACACCGGCGTTACGTTCTATGCCGTCGACATGATCAGCCATGTCTCTGCGCCCGACAACCCGACCTATTACGACGCCTACCTCCAGCATGCATTAATAAAGACATATTCTACCCAGAACTCCCCACGGGGACAAAGTGATGTATTTGTAGACATAATAGTTTCTGTGTCGTTTAGATGTAGCGCGTTCTGTGTCGTTTAGATGTAGCGCGCATATCTTCAAGTATCTGAAGTTTAACTAATTTTGTAAAAGCTTCTGAAATGCTATTTTTCACTGGTTGTTCAGATAGTTGATGGTTTCCTACTTCACCTGATTCAGCAGAATCAAGGCTATGTGCTTCTGAATTAAATAATTTCACTGGTTGTTTAGAAAGTTGATGTTTTCCTGTACGCCAGCAGAATCAAGGCTAAGTCTTGCTATGTAATGACCGTGTGTGTCTTATGGACGCCCGGAATCATGAGATGGCCATGCGACTGTAAACCCCTGAGCACCTGAAAAGTCAACCATAGCTGTATACTCCATTACGAAAGCAAAATGCTACCACTTTTGTAGCGTAACAGATCTCTTACAGTTCCATTTCTCGTTGCTTCGACCATTTTATCTGTGCATGATTGTATGTTCTCGTTTTTAAAGATTATTATTATTTTCTCGTTACTTCGATTATTTTGGGTTACATTGTTTGGAGTATTTTCCTTTGCTTCAAATTTCTGTCCAAAACTTGAAATTTCGAGTATTTTCCCGCTGCTTCGAGTATTTTCGTGTTGCTTTGAGTATTTTCGTGTTGCTTCCAAAAACCTGAATATTTTATGCTTACAAAGGTGAAGGTATTATACTGTCGTACTTCTTAGCGTGTAATGTTAGTGTTTCTAGTTTATGGAGGCAACTGCTATAAACGCCTATTATGTTTGGTTTATTATGTACAGTTAAAATAAATAAATGATTCAATGAGTGTGATCCTGGAATTGTCATAATCAGCTTAGGGCCCCTGACCCCTTTTCATGCATCCCAGGCAGTGGATGGGGCTTCTCATAAGAAGAACTGCCTGGTCGAACGTTTCCGAGAATGTGTGGACTCTCTAATAGAGCGATAGCCTTCTGCATACTGAGTGTCAGAAGGGCTGTGTACCTGACAGTAAACTCACGTACTCTCTCAACGTCAGTCAATATAGGTACCAAACCTCTCGGAGGAAAAATAAACCTAAGGCACCAAGCACAATGCGGAGTCTGACAACTTGATGCTTGGAATGCATGTGTAACCTTTGGTAAGTGAGTTCTGCATGCTTGCCATGCTTTTCCTAAATATTGTCACATATGTGACAGAAGGATCAGCATATCCAATGCTGTACAGAATTATATTACAAAAAGGACAAGGTCAGTTTAGTGACATTGACAGGACTGTGACAGGCAGTATATAGGCCTATTTTCCCTTCGGTTTCGCTCTTCAGTCCAGCCAAGTGAAGGGTTCTTCGCACTGAACCACTATAGAGAAGGTGGCATATGCTACCTATGTTTCGGAGTTGAAATAGCATTTTTGACGTGGTCATTGATGCGCTTGTCCATGTTGAGTGATGAGTCTAGCTTCACACCCAAGTCTCTAGCATCTGTCTAAAAGTTGATTTCATCACTTTCGACTTTGATATGAGTTCCTTCGATCTTTTGCAGCCTTTTGTCAGGTCCTGTGAGCAAAGCCTCTGTCTTATCGCTGTTTAACTTTAGCATATTGGCGTTCATCCAGTCGCTAACCTTGGATTTACAGTCTTCGATCGCACTTAGTCCTGCCCTCTGTGACATGTCATCAAGAGCAAGACTATTGTGCAATTGCGTATCATCAGCATAAGAATGATCATTGATGGCACAGTTACTAATGACCTGAGGGACATGCTTGCTGTATAGCGTAAATAGTACTGGGCCCAGTACCGCAGCTTGGGGTACACCACAAGTCAAAAGAGTGTTGTCAGATGATGTAGCATTAATGCTAACTCTCTGGTATCTGTCACTCAGGTACGAGCGGAACCAGTCCAAAACAACGCCCTCTAAACCATATTCAGTATAAATATGTGTCGTCGTTTTGTATCCATTTCGTCGTTTTGTATGTGTGTTGTCATTTGTATGTGTATCGTCGTTTTGTATGTGTCATCGTTTTGTATGTTTCGTCGTTTTGTATGTTTGTCGTCGTTTTGTATGTGTCGTCGTTTTGTATTATGTCGTCGTTTTGTATGTGTCGTCGTTTTTTGTGTGTCGTCGTTTTGTATGCATGCCGTCATTTTGTATGTGTGTCATCATTTTGTATTTTCGTCATCGTTTTGTATATGTGTCGTCATTTTGTATGTCGTCGTTTTGTATTGGTGTTGTCGTTTTGTATGTATGTCCTTGTTGTGTATATGTGTCGACGTTCTGTATGTCGTCGTTTTGTATGCATGTCCTTGTTTTGTATGTGTTTCGTTGTTTTGTATGTATGTCGTCGTTTTGTATGTGTCGTTATTTTGTATGTCGTCGTTTTGTATGGGTGTAGTCGTTTTGTATGTATGTCCTTGTTTTGTATATGTGTCGACGTTCTGTATGTCGTCGTTTTGTATGTATGTCCTTGTTTTGTATTTGTTTCGTCGTTTTGTATGTATGTATGTCGTTTTGTATGTGTCGTCGTTTTGTATGTGTCGTCGTTTTTTGTGTGTCGTCGTTTTGTATGCATGCCGTCATTTTGTATGTGTGTCATCATTTTGTATTTGCGTCATCGTTTTGTATGTTTCGTCGTTTTGTATGTATGTCGTCGTTTTGTATGTGTCGTCGTTTTTTGTGTGTCGTCGTTTTGTATGCATGCCGTCATTTTGTATGTGTGTCATCATTTTGTATTTGCGTCATCGTTTTGTATGTGTGTCGTCATTTTGTATGTGTGTCTTTGTTTTGTATATGTGTCGACGTTCTGTATGTCGTTGTTTTTATGTAGTCCTTGTTTTGTATGTGTTTCGTCGTTTTGTACGTGTGTAGTCGTTTTGCATGTGTCATCGTTTTGTATGTCCGTCGTCGTTTTGTATGTGTGTTGTCATTTGTATGTATGTCCTTGTTTTGTATGCGTGTTGTCGTTCTGTATGTGTGTTGTCGTTTTGTATGTATGTCCTTGTTTTGTATGTGTGTCGTCGTTTTGTACATGTGCCGTCGTTTTGTATGTGTCGTCGTTTTGTATGTGTGTCGTCGTTTTGTATGTGTGTTGTCATTTTGTCTGTCGTCGTTTTGTGTGCGTGCCATCACTTTGTGTGCATGTCGTCGTTTTGTATGTGTGTCGTCATTTTGTATTTGTGCCATCGTTTTGTATGGATGTTATCGTTTTGGATGTCGTCCTTTTATATGTGTGTTCGTCATTTGTTATGTGTTTGGTTGTTTTGTATGTCGTCGTTTTGTATGTGTATCATCGACTTGTATGCGTGTCGTCGTTTTGTATGTACATGTATGTCGTCGTTTTGTAAGTGTGTCGACGTTTTGTATGTGTGTCGTCGTTTTGTATACGTGTCGTCATTTTGTATACGTGTCGTCGTTTTGTATGTGTGTCGTCATTTGTATTTGTGCCGTCGTTTTGTATGTTTGTTATCGTTTTGTATGTCGTCGTTTTGTATGTGTGTCGTCATTTTGTGTGCATGTCGTCGTTTTGTATGTGTGTCGTCAATTTGTATTTGTGCCATCGTTTTGTATGGATGTTATCGTTTTGTATGTCGTCCTTTTATATGTGTGTTCGTCATTTTTTATGTGTTTGGTTGTTTTGTATGTCGTCGTTTTGTATGTGTATCATCGACTTGTATGCGTGCCTCGTTTTGTATGTACATGTATGTAGTCGTTTTGTATGTGTGTCGTTATTTGTATTTGTGCCGTCGTTTTGTATGTATGTTATCGTTTTGTATGTCGTCGTTTTGTATGTGTGTCGACGTTTTGTGTACGTGTCGTCGTTTTGTATACGTGTCGTCGTTTTGTATACGTGTCGTCATTTTGTCTGTGTGTCGTCGTTTTGCGTGTGTATCGTCGGTTGTAACGTCTTATGCTAGTATGTTAAACGGTGTCAGATATGTCGTCACCCTATAATTTGTGTGTCGTGTACCGTCAGTTATGTAATCCTATTTAGTATGCACTGCAGTTGTAATCTGGTACGTTTTAGAAATACTTGTGTGACATCATTTACGGACCACGTGAGGCTGGTGAAACAGTCCCAGACAGAGGCGAAGAGGTAAGGAATTGTAAAAAACTCTGGAAAGTATAACCGACATGTGTCAAACATGTGTCAACGTCATAATCATGTGTTTATGAATCACAGTGAAACAGCAATGGTAGAGGGTGTACACGAAAAGCTGAGTCTGCCCCTAACGTCGTATCAGTCACAAACACTTGCAACGGCAGGTCAATTTTTCACATGACATAATAGCTTAAGAGAAAATATGGAATGGCACTGGACTTCATTTTGCCACCGATGCTCCAAATTTGTGTAACACATGTCTACAGAAACGTTTGAATGCTTCGAGGTGTTGATACATTCTGAAAGGAAACTGACTGATCAAGAACTTTCACTTTTCAGATACCGCTTTGATTCACAAATATATATTTACCTATGCTAACAAGAGTGGATATCTGATAATGCTGTTGGTTGAGACAAAACATACATGATGCATATCGTTAGGTAAATGTATGTAGAATGTAATCTATAAGTGTGTACCAGTTGCCTGAACTTACACATGTAAATTTGCTGCCATGCCCCTAGTGAAATTTACAATAAAGTAAAATGTGTGTACGGTGTTTAAGCGTAAAGTTGAATAGTTAATAAAGATTTATTGTTTTGTAGCAATATATAATGACATACTGTCAACTAAAACGTACTGTTCCATCGATATATGAGCAAAAGGTGAATGACAGGGCAGACAAACGTTTGCCTTCT